TTGCCACATAAGGTGGTCAGCTAAGGTGGTCAATGTTGTGTGTCTCAATAGCATTACTCTTCCACTAATGAAACCAACGAGAAGAGGACTTGACCTGCTTAATTTGAGGCCTTCACACAAAGTACTCGAAGTTGTTGCGAAAATATCGTGATTCGAAAATACCGCTGTGTAGAAATTATCTATGCCCAGAAAATAATAGCAACGTTCAACTTTCAGCTTCCTTTCTTCGCCATTTTCAGCTCTCCTCCAATTCTCTGCATTCTAATACAAAGTCTCAAAAGATAAGCTTTTTATGCTAATTGGGCCAAAACTGAGTCGGTTCTGGCCCAACATTTATAATATAAAGTATTGGGTTTTGGCCGAGTTCGATATGATCCGACCCATTTCAGTTTTGGACCAAAAACAAGTCGTGATCTTTCTCAGTTCTCAACTTGTCGCACAGAAAAATCTGAAGAAGAGAGGAGAAGAGAAATGAGTGGAGAAGAATTAGCGAGGCCCCCAGCCCCAAAGCTCCTCTGTCTACTTTATTTTGTCGGTGTTGGCTGTTGCCATGAATTTTCATTTCAATTTTAAGTCTTTGGTTTTTGAGAGAGAGAGAAAGTCTTCTTCTTCTTCTTCGTTTTTAATTGTTTGGCTGATTTTAAATTCTGGGTAGTTATTTGCATTTGTTTTCTTTCAGGGCTTCATGGAAGAGGTCCATCCGGCGACAATGCAGTGAAAAATTTGTCAGGTGAATCTGTCATGACCAGAAATTATATCATCCACTTTCAAGCATAGGAAATATCTGATTTGGCTTGCCAATATCCATGTTGTTATAAGCTGTATAGGATGTGTCATGACAACTTAATGAACCGAACACATATCCTTTAAATTTGAGTCCAGTTACTTAGAAAAAAAATAGAAGAAAAGAAATGGGTAAAGCAAATTGAAAATGTAAAATAAAAAGTACAATATTAATAATATATATCTAGCCTCTAACCCTTCTTTTCATCCTGTTGAGGGGGACTGTTATCATCACATAGAGGAGCATATCTTGTAGATTGTCTATGAATCGAAAATACGCATATCTCTATGTTTTGTTAATAACTAAAGAACCACAAACTCCCCCAAAATCCTACTATGAATCCCGACGCTGCAAATATATAAAACCATGGAATCACATTTTCCACGTCTTTATTGTTCTTGTTATATACATCCATGTCCTTATTTGGTCCGCACTTATTTGGAAGTGGGGCACCACAAAGTTTTGGGTTCCCCTCAAACGCAGAAGCTTCGAAGCTTTGGAGCTGGGTGCCTGTTGGTATCGATCCTTCGAGGTTATTATATGAGACATTAAATTCTTTTAAGAAATTAAGGCTCGCCAATGATGATGGGATTATTCCAGACAAGTGATTCATGGAGAGGTCTAAAATCTCTAAATTTTTTAGGTTAGATATTTGGTCTGGAATGACGCCAGAGAAGGTGTTGGAGTCAAGAAAAAGCAAGCGGAGAAGATGTAATTGGCCGATCTCAGCAGGTATATAACCACTAATGTTATTGTTAGATAAGCGTATCATTGCTGGAACAGAAGACATTTTTTGTTGTAGAATAGTTTGCTTTGCGAATATGCTGAAGTTGTTGCTGCTGAAGATAGGCAATTCAAATGCATAACTAGTGTCGTCTAATTGAGATGCAATATTAGGTTCATATACCAACCTTGGTAGTCTACAAAGTTGCTTTGGAAATTCACCTGAAAATTGGTTCTCTGACAAGTAGATATGAAACAGTCTAGGCAGAGTCCCCAACCAACTTGGAATTGGCCCTGTGATTTGATTAAAATCCAGTCGCAAGATCTCTAGATTCTTGAGCTTTGATAACCATACAGGCATTTGACCAGTGAGGTCAGAATTAAACAAACTCAATAACCGAAGATTTTGGAATCCATCAAAATCAACCATGTCATCATCAGATGGCATTCCCTCACCTTTAAAGGCACCATCAAGCATGAGTACGTGAAGACTTTTGCAACTCATTAATATCTTCATTGCCCCTGTGAGGTTGGTGAATCGGTTGTTACCAAGGCAGAGGAAGGACAAGGATTTCAATGAAATAATTTCAGCTTGTATTTGTCCCTCTAGATGATTTCTACTCAATCCGATGGCTTTTAACGACCGACATGAGTAAAGGCTTACAGGAACCGTACCAGTGAATTTATTCATCCTGAGGTCAAGTTTAGTAAGTTGACTCAGTCTGGAGAAATCAAGCATGGAGATATCTCCTTCCAAGTTGTTGTTTAACAAATGCAGTTCTACAAGGTTTGTGCAATTTATCAAAGACTGGGGCAAAGAACCTTCTAAATTGTTGAAATCAAGGGTCACCAATTTCAACTTGGAGAGCTTCCCCAAATTGTGAGGAAGCTCGCCATTCAATTGATTAAAGTAGAGGTCAAGGATTGCAAGGTTAGTGAGGTTGGCAATTCTATCACTAATGGCTCCATGTAGTGAATTGAGAGGTAATGCAATTTCTTCAAGTTTGGT